TACTAAAAATACAAAAATTAGCCGGGCGTGGTGTTGCGCGCCTGTAATCCCAGCTACTCGGGAGGCTGAGGCAGGAGAATGGCATGAACCCGGAAGGCAGGGGTTGCAGTGAGCCGAGATTGTACCACTGCACTGCAGCCTGGGTGACAGAGCAATACTCTGTCTCAAAAAAAAAAAAAAAAGGAGAAAAAGAATTAATATACGAAACCTGCTTACAGCAGTATCTGACACCAAGTAATGCTATATAAGTGTTCTTGTTTTTATTATTAAAGATTATTCTCTGAAAAGGTTTGACTGGGAATGGAAGAAAAAGATGTATTTTGCTTTGCTGGAGAAGGGAGGGAAAGTCAAGGGGAGGAGGAATTTAAAAACATTTATATGCCTGGAGAAACCTAGATCAAAGAAAAAGCCAAAGGTCTAAAAGAGAGCAATGAGAACAGATGATGCAAGGCTCCAAAGTTCAGAGAACTGAATAAGGGGGATGAGACTCAAAACAAGAGGACTCCTGACTTACTAGGTTAGGGGTAAGGATGGGTTCTGATAAATACCAGTATGTGGGGAGTGTTCTGGTGCCTTTGATTTTGGCCAATTAAGAGGTAACGTGGTATGAAGAAATGGAGTTGGGGGAAGGATAGTTTGGATTAGTTTGGAGGGGATTTGGTGGAGAATGGTGAGTACTTGGGATACCCATGGAACATAGGAGAAATTTAACCATGGACAAGTAAAGTGTTCAAAGTCTTGTGGTTTGCAACCCTATACATCACAAGAATTTCCTTCTCCATATCTCCTTGTAGAATTGGTTTTATTAACATCTAGTTATTTTATTTTAATATTTTTTTTGAGACAGAGTCTTGCTCTGTCGCCCAGGCCTGAGTGCAGTGTTGTGATCTTGGCTCACTGCAAGCTCCACCTCCCAGGTTCACACCATTCTCCTGCCTCAGCCTCCTGAGTAGCTGGGACTATAGGCACTTGCCACCACGCCTGGCTAATTTTTTTTTTTTTTTTTTTTTTTAAATAGAGACGGGGTTTCACCGTGTTAGCCAGGATGGTCTTGATCCCCTGACCTCGTGATCCACCCGCTTCAGCCTCCCAAAGAGCTGGGATTCCAGGCGTGAGCCACTGTGCCTGGCCACAACTAGTTATTTTTTTTAAGTGAAAACAGTTTGCCTTTACTTTGTAAGAAGAGTTTACACCCATGAGATAACTTGAGACAACCTGAGGTCTTACAAAACCAGTCTTAGAATCATTGAATTAACCATCTTAACTCAAAAGAAGAAAGAATGTAATAAAAATCAAACAAAATTTTAAAAATCTAGGAAGGTTATAATCATTAGGCCTGTGATTAAAAGGTTTTCTTTCTAATTCTTTGTGTCTTTCACTAACATGGTACTTCAGATTTTTAATGAGATGCAAAAATTACTTTAATTGCTTACCTGCCTAAGAATTCTGACTTTTAAATTCAGGAAATAATTGTAGATATAACTAACAAGGAAAATTGTGAATTGTATAGTCTGGGTGATCTGAGCTTGGGGTAAGCAATAATTAAAATTTTTCTTTCCTTTTTTTTTTTTTTTTTTTAACAGTGATCCTTATGTGAGAGTGACGTTATATGACCCAATGAATGGAGTTCTTACAAGTGTGCAAACAAAAACCATTAAAAAGGTTAGACTTAGCAATATTCAGAAGTTTTTAATGTACTTTGTTTTATTTTTAGAAGACAAAGCATTATTTAGTTATACTATGTTTATTATTTTTCAGAGTTTGAATCCAAAGTGGAATGAAGAAATATTATTCAGAGTAAGTATATATTTTACTTTACTAAAGTGGAAAGGTAAGTTTTTTTCTCAGGAGATTAGAATGATAAATTCTCAATTATAATATTTGAAAATGTATCTCAGAATTTGGTTGAAATTGTGAAAATGTAAAAGGAATTGAAATTGAGAATGACATAGTCCTAGAACCATTTGTCTTATGAAAAACATAAATGTAAAATAATGGAGAGGTAAAAGACTGGAATTATCTCATTCTAGTGAAACTGATTTAGAGACTGTACAGTAGTCTTATTCCAGTTGAGCAGATTCAGTGTTTTCTCATAAAGATGATACAAAATATATTTATGTCTCCCCAGTCGTTTATTATTAAACAGTTTAGGGCCTATCAAGTGAATACATTTCTTTTTATCCACACGTCATTCACATTGCTGCCTTTCCACCCCATCTGCCTCATTTACCATAGGAACAAACTCCAATCAGCAGTTATTTCCGGTTCCTCAGTAGGACCCTCAAACTGACAGTGTCTCTGTGTACCTGTTTAATATCAGAGTCCTTACTATTGCCAGAATCGAAACCCTACCAGAGCAGTGGTAGAGATGCATTTCAGGAATTTCCCCTCTCTGGATTATTCCCACTTGTATCATCCTTCAAATGTTCTTCCTTGACCCCATTTTCCCTTTTAGCTGTTGACTTGTTTCTCTGTTCACCTGAATAAGGAACATTCATGGGAGAGTTGTCTACCCTCATCATTTCTGCTTCTCCAGGATGCTCCTTGACCCACTGTACTCTCGCTCACATCCCCGTCACTCAAATGAAACTGCTGTTATTCAGGTCCCCAGTGACCTCCCTGCTGCCAGGTTCATCTCATCTCATCTTACTCATGCTCTTCACAGCATCTGACATGGCAGATCATTCCTGAAACACCAGCCTCTCTGGAGGTTTCTATGGTACCATACTTGATTTCAGTAAGGAAAACAGAAGCCGTTCTTCCATACTTCATGTTAAAGATATTTTGTTTGTTTTGTTTTGTTCAATTTTAATAAAGTGAATTTGAAGGGAAGAAATTGCTGACACTAAGGGCAAGGAAGCTGTTGCTGAAGATCTAGCCAACAGCACCAATTAAGTTGCTTCTGTTTTTTCAGTTTGGAGTAAGATTTTCCCCACTCTTTGTAGTATGACATAAAAACAACATTTTAAATCGGTTAGGAAATTTTGGAATCTTGAAGAAATGATACTGAATCAATTGGATAGTCATATGAAGAAAAATGAAGCGAAATTTCTGTTTTTACTATTTCACCAGAATAAATTCCAGGCTTGATAATGTCTGGTTTTGATTGCTTTTTTGGCACAATTGTTGCTTAGGAGAGTATTTTTAAATTCCCAAGTTGTTGAGTTATTTATTTATTTATAATTTTGTTTTATTTTACTTATTTTGTTACATTTTTCTTAGAAACATATGTATTTTCAATATATTTCAAAGTTTTCTTTCTACCTCTTATGTTTTTTCTGATATTATTGGCTTGCCCATGTTAAATAATGTTTAGTCATAATAACAATGGATATATATTTGTCTTGTTTCAATTTTAGTGGGAATGCATCTAGCATGTCTCCGTTAAATATGGATAGCTTTTTGTTATTTATCATATTAAAGATGTATTCAGCTATTGCTGTTTTTTCAAGAGTTAAAAGAAAAAATGTATTGATACTTCCAATTTGAGCCATGATACAGTAACAGGATATCGGGCTTAACCTGATGTATAAACAACCATAAAGCTGGGGGGGAAATAGGAGAAATGGGGGGATGTTGGTCAAAGTGTACTGACTTTTAGTAGTAAGCTAGATAAGTTCTGAGATCTAACGTGTAGCATGGTGACTATAGTTAATAATACTGTATGTACACTCGAAATGTACTAAGAGAATAGATTTTAAGTGGTCTCACTATACACACACACAATGGTAAGTAACTATGTGTGGTGACAGATGTGTTAATTTGATTGTGGTAATCATTTCACAGAGTATACATATGTCAAATCACATGTATACTTTGAATATTTACAATCGTTATTCGTCATTTATAACTCAAGAAAACTGGAAAAAAGAAATCTACTTAGATATAGTGAAATAGATGGTTAAAATTTAAAAGATGCAAGGAGACATACCATGCAAAAGTAATCAAACAAAACTGAGGTAGCCATATCAATGTCAGACAAAGTAGACCTTAGAATAAGGACAATTACTGGGCATAAAAGGACCATTATATGATGATAAAAAGGGGAAATTCATGAAGAAGCCAGAAACAGCTCTAATTGCTTATGCACCTAATGACAAAGCTTTAAAATACCCAAAGCAATAAATGATAGAACTGAAAGGAGAAATGGGCAATTATCCTATGTGGAGAATTTAGCATTCTTCTTTTTCTCAGTAACTGGTAGAACAAGTAGAAAAAAAAAATTGAGTAGTGATGTGGAAGTCCTGAAGAACACTATCAAGTTGATTTTACCTAATTGACATCTATAGACTCTCTACTCCAACAGTAGCAGAATATGTAGTCTTTTCAAGTACACATAGAGTAGTTACTGAGTAATCTGGGCCAAAGCCCAAACCCTAACAATTTTAAAAGAATAGAAATCATGCAAATTGTAGTCTGTGACTAGAATGAAATGAAAGCAAGAATCAATAACAAAAAGGTGTCTAGAAAATCCCCAAATATTTAGATGATAAACACTTCTAAGTAGCTCATGGGTCAAATAAAAATTCTCAATGGAAATTAGAAGATATTTTAAGAGAATGAAACTTTTTGATGCGGTTGTTTGTTTTTTTCTTGTAAATTTGTTTGAGTTCTTTGTAGGTTCTGGATATTAGCCCTTTGGCAGATGAGTAGATTGCAAAAATTTTCTCCCATTCTGTAGGCTGCCTGTTCACTCTGATGGTAGTTTCTTTTGCTGTACAGAAGCTCCTTAGTTTAATTAGATCCCATTTGTCAATTTTGGCTTTTGTTGC